TTATAATTAGCTAGAACAGGGTTAAGACCTATTAACAGAGTAATAGGTCTTTATAACCTAAATTGCATCGGGTAGTAGCAATAGTATATATTAGGTATAGTTTATAGAGTTAAAATATGCAGTTATAGTAGTTAAATTAACAGTATAAATATTATATTATAGGAATTAAGGGCAATTGTAGCGTAAAGGAGGGGAGGGAAAAGAAAAGGAAAAAGGCAAATTAGGAAATAAAGGTTTTAGTGTTAAGGGAAAAACTGTAAATATTAGTAAACTAAAGCTAGCTATATAGGTTAGTAATAGATTAGATCAGGCCTTAAGGCAATGCAGTATAAAGAATACAGGTTCAGGAATAATATAGATAATTAACACTTGGTTTAAATATATATAAATAAGTACTATTACTTTTCTATAAAAATAATTAAGCTTAAAGTATATAAAATATATATAAGGTAAAATACCTAATAAAAGTAAGTTTATTAACTTAAAATAACTTTCTTAAAATAACTTTTATTATAATTATATAATAACTAATTAGCTAGTAGCCTAAGCTACCTTTTTACTTCTTAATATATTCTATACTATATAATATTATTAACTTACTTATAATTACCTATAAACCTATAGCTCTAGATTTGCTATAAAGATAGCTATAAAAGACTTTATAAGGATATTTAAAAAGGTAATATTAAAGATATTATCCTTATAAGCCTTATTTACTTTAGATATAATACTTATTTATATTTCTATAAAGATTAAAAATATAAAAAGTTAGTTCCTTAAAGGGTAAGAAATTTACTACTAAATAATAAGGTAATAGTAATTAATAAAGTAATATAAAATATAGCTTAGGTATATAATATAGTAAACTTATAAAAAAGGATTAACTTTATATATTTATAATAAGTTAAGCAGTAAGTAATAACTATAGGGAAAAAGTTAAACTAGTAGGTAGTGTTAGGCAGAAAAGCTTATTTATTAAAGATTTAGTTATATTTAGGGCTAGGTTTTTATTAAATAAAGCTTTATTAAGCTATAAAGGTTTTAAATATAAAGCTAACCATTGGCATCCTGGCAATTGAGTGGACCTCTCCATTCATTTATGCAGGTGAATCTTCGATGACTCTGCTTCAACGGACCGAGCAATGGAAAAGTGCCTCCGGTGTACTGTGTGTCTGGAGACAGTTTCTTCTCAGGACTTTCTGAATCGATGACTCACTGGAGGAAGTATTTTTCTGGGACAAACAGCTCGCCATGATACACCATATCTTGGCCATATTTCTGCATTTTCCATTTCCATGGACTGCCTTCTCCAAGAGGGTAGAACCTCTTTTGGTCAATGTCATTGATCCCAGCGTTAGAGCTTGTGAGCTTGAAGAAGAAAAACGAGATATCCTTCTCATAGTGCTTGTCAGTGAAGGGATTGTATTTGGATTTGAAGTCGGCAGGTTGCCAGAACTCGTTGCCAAGGTCAGCTTCAGTATTTTGAGATATATTTTCGAGTTCCATGGTGGTGGTGGCAGGTTCCATGGCGGTGGCAGATGAAAAGATGCGTTGTCTAAGTGAATTTATAGCTTGGAAGTGATATTTCTTTGTGTGATATTGCAATGTTACTGAGTACCCGTTCTCTGCTCTTCTATATATGTTGGCAAATAGGAGGGAGTAGTGTATTGTTATGGCAAGTCCCATTGTATCGGTACAATGTCTATCTTAACCTAGGCGTGTTACTTGCAGGTAAGCCGTGTGGCTAAGCTGATCCTGCAACCTAAACGTTGGAGGGCACCGGAAGGTGTGCTACCATCGTCAACTTTACCTGATAAGGCGGTTCAGCCATCCTCAATTGCACAGAACGTCTCGAGTGAGAGTCAAACTCCCTTCAGGAGGCATAGTTCCGCCTCGTGAATGTCTCCTTTTTTCGCCTCCAAGCTCGGAAAGTAGGAGTTCCGTCGCTTTGATGCACGTCTCAATCCATATCACACTGCCGCTAGATTTGTGTGACACCTAATCAATACGTGACGGAGCTACTGGCGCGAATCTTCACTGGAAAGTGAGGATATTCTTGAACAGACGCGTAATGATGATCAGAGGATTAATAGACCTTCAGGTCTAGATTGTTCAGCTTCCTTATTATGGACAAAGGGGGCGGTTTGGCGCTGCTGAAGCTGTGTATCTCGGATCAGAATGCCGAGAATAGAGAAATCTCCCACAGAAGGAGGGTCGGGAGATAGTTACAAGAGAAATTGGGTTACCTGAATGACCCTGTTCCTTAAAATCCTGAGAGATTGGATAGTTGTTTGTTCTACTTATAGAGAGAGATTGGAGTATAAGACACCTTCGTTTCCCTCTCAACCATCCCGCATCACTCATCTTCCAACCTCATCAATCTTCCTTCTACTATCTCTTCATCTTATACAAACCTGCAAAATGCCCTCTACTTGCCATCTTCCTAGCCATCCGGCTACATGGACTCTTGAACAGCCGACTTCCTCTCCCCAAGCTAGAGTCACACTGAATACTTGGGAGTACCAAGGCGAGTCCAAGTCCGGATTTACCTGCGACTACCAGCCTGAGTCTAAAGATGCTGGATATAAGCCTGTATTCCAGTTTAAGCCTGTCTGTGAGTACCAGGCTTCAGACTTTAAGCTCCCTGAGGTCAAGCCTGCCTGCGACTTTAAGGCTACCGATTTCTTTTCCTCGGAATTTACTGTTCCTCAGCTCAACTCTTCTGGTTTACAGCAATTGTCTGAGACGGCTGTGAAGAGTGCTCTGAGCATGGCTGAGAACTATATTGCTCCAGTCGCTGCTCCGGATGCTGCTGTGACTCGCTGTAAGCATGTCCAGGGCCCTTTGTCAATAAACTGATTTACTAACCCACGTTCTCTTTCAGCAATCTTTAAGATCGAGGCACGATTCGAGAACAAGATAAATGGCCTCTCCATCTGGAAGACAGGAACTGGTCTTCTTTTGAGCCCTGATCTGGTCGTCGCTGGTGGCGAGGTTGTGTATGATGCTGAGTATCAGCTTGGTACTGCCACGCAGGTCAAGTGCTACATCGGCTATCGTGGACGTAACTCCTCTGAGATCTAGCCTCGATATGGACAGCGCGTTATGTTCTCTGCTGAATGGAGCGAGGGTTATAAGAGACACTCGCGTGACATCGCTTTCATCCAGGTTGCGCAGCCTCCTGCTATTGTCGCTGCAAGCCAGGAATGGGTCCCAGATGGTGAGTGAAAGCTAGACTATTTCGCTGGCACTGAATTGAGCTAACGATGTGATGAGCAGAGCGTACTACTGCCCCGGCTGTGACCCATTACTGCAATTGCACCGGCCATCAAGAGCCTCTCCCGAGCCTGTTCCCGGGCCTATCACTGAGCCCATCGCTGAGCCTACCGTTGAACCTGTCCCTGAGCCCGTCGCTATTCTCGAGCCAGAAGTCGCCGAGCCTGAGATCCCTGTCACTGTATGTGTCGAACCAGTCGACGATTTCATCATCGGGGCGCCCGCCCCCGAGGAGCCCGAGCTTGAACTTCCAGTCCCAACAAGCTAGGTTGAGTGTGACTATGAAGTTGTCAAGGTCGACGAAACACCTGAAACCCAAGTCGCGGAGGAACCCGCAGACGCAACTCATCCTTTTTACGAAACTATGAAGATCTTTCACCAGATTGACAATAAGACCCTCGACATTGAGTCTTCCCTCATCGGTGATATCGGCCACTTCGTTAGTGTCGCTGCTGGCTCTCTCGTCAGCTACGTCGTCGGCGCAGAGACCATCTCCAGGGGTGCAGCAACCGAGCTCGCTGGTGTTCCTGAGCGCGCTCTTCTCGCCGAGGCTTCCCTCCAACCTGTCCTTGCTATTGAGCAATCCGATGAGCTAGACGAGGTCATCGCCAGCATGAAGCAAAACTGGACCGCCAATGCTGACTCAGTGGATCAAATTTCTTATCTTCTTGCACCTTATCTTTCCGAAGCAGCCAAGTACATTGTTGAGTACCATGAAGAGAATGACAAGACTGAAGTCTCTCCCAAGCCGCTTCACCACCGCAACCTCGGTATTCGACAGTTCCCGATCAACGAGAGCACTGAGGCATTCGTCGAGGGTCTGTTTGAGCCAACTCTCCCTCTGTCCGGTCGTGGAAATGACATTTCTTCTCTTGGTCCTGTTCTCCGAAGTGCTGTTTCTGCCACTCAGCAAATTGTTTGTCAGGTCGGAAAGAGTACTATTGAGAGTCAAGTTCCTAAACTCCTCTTCAAGTATCAGGGTTCTGATGCATCCGCTGTCGATGTTCAAGCTACTCGCGTTCTCGTCCAGCGAGCTATCATGGCAGATGCCGACATTTTCCCACACACATACATATCTCTTGACATTGGCAGTTCTCGACCAGGACGTAAGTAACAGGTAAGGTACATGGCACTGACTTAAAATATTCGCTTAAATTCATCACATAATGTTTGGATCTAGGAATCCAACAATCCGGAGATGTCCCATGCGTTGAATCCCTGATATGTGGCCCTATCATCGAGGAGATGACAGGAGTCAATTAAAGTTAGTCAGGGGTTCCATTGTAATTCAGGGACGGGCCTATCTATACCGGGACTAACACCGCCGATGTCCAATTAAATGACACTTGTATATAAGATTACCAATGGGGGAAGCGAGGGGTACTGCTTATGCCACCGCTCCGTCATACATGCACAACACGATGCCAGAATATCATCTACTCGATATTAATAGTAGCATTGTCGACTTGATCGTATCTCCGATCATGCTCGTTCATAAGGTACATTGAGGGACTTAGGACAATGCTAAGCAATCACTTTAACTCGCTCGACTGAACTCATGGCGTAGATATTGCACAAACCACAGAACAAAACACCAAGTCCACAGATTGTTCTTGCATAGAAATGAACACACAAGAATATTATTGCATTTTCACTGTCTCAAATTCTCAACCGCTTGGCGGTACAATGCCTCTGTCGATCACCTAGGTCTCCCTGGACATGGCATATGTCTGGCGTTTCGATTATGTCAAGACCGGGAGGGACATCCCACAACATCGAGTGCGCTTCGTCTGCATGTTGAAGGGGAAGTAATAGCTTCACAGCGATGGAAATTGCGGAATTGAGCTACCTTCTTCCGTGTATCATCTCTGCGGATGGGATTAAAGTAAGTAATGCTATTGTCGTTATCCCGGGCTCCAGGTCCGTGAAACACTACGGAGCAGCACCGGGATTGGAGATATCACTGCACTTGATATAATTGCTACATATGGTGATACTGTTATTCCCTTAGCCTTGCCTTTTCTGCTTCAAGATAATGATAATTAACTTGTTTCCGTATAGGGCCTTCCTGAGATCGGTATCACGGTCGAGTGAATTCCTGCCGAGAAGAGATGAACTTGGGTATAATGGTTTGAGTTGTGTTTCCTATGGCCATTGAGGAATGCATAGGTGGTGGAGTTTCATCTGAAGATGACAATTATCGCGAAATCGGTCGATGGGAGCACTTTCGGGGCATTTGCAGATGGCTTGTCCTGCAGTCGCCTTGGTAATGCTACTGAGTTAATCATATCATTTGTGATGTCAACTATAGAGACTTGCGGAACTGCGAATGATTCTGCTCCATCCGCTAGCTAGGTCATTATGGACGCCTTTGCAGTCCTGAAGCAATCCAAGCTGCACACGGATATTGTTTCATGGCGTGCTATCGATACATTCTTACATATGATTCAATCTCTTTTCGCCTATCGAGAACTTCCCTCATCTTGCCATGGCAGAGAGGAGCATCAAAAAGGGCTTCGATCGATGATCAACAACTGTCTGATTGAGAGCCGTCTCAATGAATCCCGATATTCGGGTACCAGTTCATCGCACTTCCATTTGCTCCAATTAAGCACCGCTACCTCACACATACTCAGTACCCCACCATGAAAGACAAAGGCCCATTTTCTCAAGTCGATTCAAAAACATGTCCTAGGGACGCTAAAACTGCAAGCGTAGTCCGGCAATCGTCGTGTTCTGAACAGGGGGTTCATATACACTTAGTTGCTTGTAACGGCCAAGACACCTATCGCTATCCCACGTCTGCAATTGATTCCTATTTCGCATTGCTGACTAACTTGCCAGCTTGCCCAAATCCCGCACTCGATCACGGGTCAAGAAACTTCGAGAACTGGAGTCATGTTTTGATCTACGAAAGGCCAGTAAGGCTTGTCACCTGACGGGACTCTCAGAGAGGACTTTGATCTATGGTTGCTCCCAATCCCTTCCTACTCCCGGGGCTGAGGACTCGCTGAAGAGGATGTCGATGAGACCAAGTCGAAGCTCCCTCAACTGATTCAAGGTGGTGCCTCATCGTGATTCCTTCAACAGTTTTCTTTTACATATCTATTTGTTGAAGAAGTATCAGAAAACTACTGTCGACTATGACCTCGACAACCCCGTCCCAAGGATATGTCAGACCAGGTCCGCAGGTCAGCGACTCTGATCAGCGACTGGAGAACCATTGACTAAAGAGTTTTCCGTTAAACCAGGGAGCACTGTCAAGAGCGGTAACTAGAGACCAATTTCCAAGAATAGAACACCCAGACTATAGATATTGTACTGCTTTCTATATGTCTTGCTTTCTTTTCCATAAAGGCGATCGGGGTATTGGCAAACCTCAAATTCCCAAATTTACTCTGTTATTATATTGTCCCCTCTTGTAGCTCCCTCTTGAGCTGTTTTTACATCCGCGGCTCGAATCAGATCAAATCCCATAAGGAACATGCTGTAAAGCAGAGATGTGCCAGGTTCATTATGAATGTCGCGCTAAAGAGCTACGACACTCCACGGGGTAATATCTTTATGAAAGAATCCGGCGATATGGAGGTTAAAGACCGCCTCAGAGAGCTGATGTGCAAGTTTCAGTCGTTGATCCAGCGATAAGTTCACGTTTGGAAGGGGATGTAATTTAATAAGATCTTCAGGATTTACCATAGAAGTAATCGGGTATGGCGGAACATGTGCAAAAAGGAATTGCATGCTTGCGGAATGGTAGAAGTAATGTTCTACTTTAAGCAAGCGAGTCTTCTGTGAGTTATCGATGCAGCTCAGAGCTGCAGCGAGCTTAGTCATTTTTGATTGGAACTTGTTAAACTCGGGTTTCCCTAAAATGTTTAGTCTTAAGACTTTACGCCCGGCGAAAATGAACTGCCTGTTACCGTTTTGAAGGGGCAGAAAAGAGAAATCTCGTCGACCCGTTGTTCTGGTTTCAAGCTCTGTGGAATCCTGCAGCAGCATCTCCTGGCTTTCGGGACGCTCTCTCCCGAGAATTGAGGTGAAGAAAGCTTTGGAGTCTCCTGTTGACTTGGACCAGGTTCGGAGGACGGCTTTTGTCTGAATTGGGGATAAGAGCCCTCAGTTCCTCAGGAAGACCTAAAACTCGTATTCCGAATCGTTGTGTCTAAATATGGAGCTCTTGTTGCATTTCTTTTAAGTCCGACTGCTTTGAAAACCATGTAGGCAATACTTGGTAGTAGTTTTCCATGACTCAAGACAAAGAGGGAATGTGAGAGACCGAAAAGAGTGGTATGTGTTATGTGTTTGCTTTCTTCGTTCATAATAAGTAACGTGAATTGACGCCATGCTGCGTGGTATAATTTGGCGCATGCTGGTGGAGATCGAGTTTTATGGGATTAGTCTGCGAACATCGGAATACCAAGCATCGCCAAGCTAAATTAGATACCCAGTATGTCCAACTTATGTTGTTTACAGATGCGGTCATTTAAATCAAGGTATTAATAGCACTTGCTCTGGACTAGAACAGTTGGGTTAAATATTTCATAAATGCATAATAATTATTGGATTTTACTTCTTAGATTATGAAAATCACTCAGCCAGCCACATATCACACCACATGCATATATGTATACTTCAGCCAGCCACAGAATGATGGTTATGTAGCCACTAGTACAGTAGTAGGTAATGTGTGCGGGGAACCCGGTCTTCTTAGCAATGTGGCATGGTAGCTGCATGAGACTAAATATGAGTCACCTTGGATATCTGTGTAAAACTTGAATGTTATATTCAAGCTGTAACTATCTATCAAGCCTCATGATCACTACGTACCTCAACTATCTCTGGTCATAAAACTCTCCATTCTCGTTACCAAGTCCACTAAAGTATAGTTGGCAAGTACTTTTATAATGTCTACCTCTACCGCTCAATCTATCTTTGGTCGCTGGTTTCTTGCGTCTGTTGACGACAAGCCTGCCGCTGATGTACTACGAATCGGAGCAGCTGCCGAAGGCATTGAGACCGCTCTTGTGGACGACTCCCGCATACCGGTTCGAATTTCTGATATCCGGCCTGGCGGTAAATATTATTGTAAGCGTCTTGATTACTATGAATAAAATGGAAATTTTAACTCGAGGTTTTAGCCATCGTCAAGCTTCAAATCAAATTCGAAAAGCAACTATCGTCTGACACCCGGTGGGCCCACGGTACTGGCTGGCTAATTGCTAATGATCTTGTTATTACTGCTGGTCACTGTACCTATGACCATACATACAATTTCCGCAAAGCTGTTAAGATCCGTGCTTATATCGGTTACAATGGTAAACAGTCTATTGGACAGCCAGACGTTCAGTTTCGACAAGGTCGCAAGATAGTCACCCCCATGGAGTGGACTACTAGCGATATCAATCGTGCTAACGACGTTAGCCTGATTTTGCTGGACACCCCGTTTAACAGCGTTACACCTATCAACTATAACCCAACTGCCGCGGCCTTTAAAGACTGTAAACTCGGAGTCGTTGGATACCCGGATGATAGGACCCTCGACGATGAGCCCGGTCCCCAGATGTACGAGATGTTCAAAGAAACAACCTGCGATTTATCCAAGACGTCACTCAACATGCTCGAGCACACCATTTCATTTGGTCCAGGTAAGGCTTTTGGGAGTACTGTCTAAGTCATGTCCAAACATAGCTAATAAGTCCCCTCCACAGGTCAGTCCGGTTCTCCTGTTCTCATCGATGGACAGAATACTTCGATCGGAACGAATGTCTACGGACTCGGTACCAGGAACTCGGCGAGCGTTATCCGTGGAGAATACGGAAATTACTATAAAAGCATGGTAGATGCACTTAGCAGTACAGAGGCCCCTGTCACAACTCGCAATGGCGTTGAGTATATCAAGATTACTCAGCCAGAAGACGCAATCACGAACGAGCCTGCTGGCGATGAAGAAGCCTTCTGGGGCTGCCTGAACAATGTCGTTAACATTAGTGCCAGAATTAACAGTACTGTGCTTCATGTCGGAACCCCCTTCTTGGGTCCCATTGTTGCACCTGTTACGGCTGTAGTAGGTACAGCACTTTCAGTCATTGGTAAGCTTACGTCGAGGAACACCGAGGTTGCTTTTGATGACAAGCTTGGCCCCCCCTGCGCCCACCACGGCTGATTACAAGTATCACGCCAGTCGAGCAATCCTGGGAGAGGCGGCCCTGCAAACCTTTCTCAAGATGGGCCCAAGACAAACTCACAAGTACGACATGATCCCAAAGATGCAGGCACGCTACAAAGAAGCCCGTTACCTTGTGCCCAAAGTCGCTAAGCTTATCGGACCTGCTGTCACCGAGCCTGCTCTCCGAATCGCCGTAGATTCCCAGGCCAGTGACAATGCGCCCAAGACTTATCCCACTATGCCACCAACTGAGGATGCCCTCGGTTCCCCCATTCACCCACTTGTTGATGGCCTACTGAAGTCTGTGCACAATCAGGAAGAGCAGGAGGACTTTTTCGGCTTTCTTAGCGGCATTGCTAATACAGCTGCTAACGTCGTTTCTACTGATGCCCCTATCATCAGTGCAGTTGGTTCGATTGCTGATGCAGTTGGTTCGATTGCTGATGCGATTGGAGGAGGGGCCGAGGACAGCTTTGAGCCGGACTCTGGTGATTTAGCCCCACATGTTGAGGTTCTTTGTCACAGGGCCTTTCTTGGTGATGCCGCCCTTTACGCTCTGATGAGCGTCCCGACCAAAGACATTCAAGAGGAAGGGTTTTTCGGCGATCTCGTTAACACCGTCAAGAATATCGGAAGCACGGTTATCAAGGTGGCCCCTACAGTCATCAAGACTATCACTCCCATTGTCCAAAACCTCGGCAGTAGGCACTTATAATTTGGGTTCAGATTTTTCCTTTCTGTACTCTGCTTGTTTCCCTTGTTGCTTTCAGTCGTTCCTTTATTGTTATTACCCGTCTTGTACTTCCTGCTTTTAGTTACTCCTTTATTAATAAAATCCTTTTTATAATCTTCCACTCGTATTATGTATCTTTCATTAGTCTGACCGAATGTTATCTGGCTTCTACTTTTTATGCCTAGTTATTCATTCCAATATATTGAGGACTTTCCGCCTGATAAGCTCACCAGCCATTTTATTGTCGCTCTTAGTAATACTAGTCCGAGTTTCTCACCTCCGAGCACTGGAATTCAGTAAGGGGCAGATCCCACTACCCACATTGCTGCTCCATATTCATACCAGCAGACTTACATATACGCCTCTGAGATACGGTACAGGACCTTCTGTTCAATCTCATATTACTGTTTCACGCTATGGGTGTAGCAGTTCGGAGTAATTCTCAAAGCCTTTTACAAAACTCCACCTCAGTCAAAGAAAAGACCTTGCTAGCAACGACTTTACCCCCTTCACTATGGCAATCCGGCTCTTATTCAGTGATCAAACAGTTTCGTAGACTCCTTGGTATTGCGTATAACCCGATCGCCCTTTCTATAGATCTGACGGGTACAAGTAGTGTATGCATTGCCAGCCCAGACTGGATACTATCGAAAGGTCGTGCTTGTCTTTCCTATGTCGCTGCAGTCCCTAGGGCCTAGAATGGGCATCTAGTGAGAATCTCATCAACAGAGCCTACGAAAACGTGGAGACTAGAGGTACTGTTTTTATTGCACGAGTGGAACTCCTCATCCTGTGGCCAACACTACTTACACAGCCTTTGTGCTGGTAATAACTACTCTTTCAGTGAGATATTCACCTCTTGAAGGAGGACTATGTGTTAATTTTACATTAGGATCTTAGATACAATGGGTTGTGGATTACTAGGTGGCTCATAATAACAAGATCAACTCTCAAGCCTTACATACAGCTAAATATTATCATTTTTGTGATCAATGGGCCGGTGACCAAGGCAAAACTAGCTCGGCCCATCCAACACCCAAACCCTCAGTATCTTGTACTCTGGTCTAGATGAAAATGGATGTAGCCATGATGCATGATAGCTGGAGCGTCACTACTAAACACATCGTCAAAGTAAGACGCAACAAGCAGTAGCGCCAGCAACACTCATGGTATACTATTCTGAGTCACCTGGGACTCAAACTTCATTATGCACACACCCAGGTGCTCATCAAGAACGCCCTTCGGTCAAACAGCGATGCTAGAAATAAGTATAAAGTCAGCTACATGATCGTGCGTAAGAGGAAGAGGGGGAGCCTTGTCTCTTTGCTACTCCAGAGCAAAGTATGGCCTTACAGTTCTCCTTAGCATGCTTAAAGTAGTACATTCACTTGCAACGAGTCATCTAGAATCTTGGGTTCCGAATATAAGGAGTACTGGACTGTGTACAATGGTTTGAATCTCCCTCGGCCACAGAAGCTTTAACAGTAGAAAGCTAAGCATGGCATCGATAGGATTGTATCAGAGCGCAAGTTGCCAGGACTAGAGAGCACATACACCGCGAGTAGATTGGATTAATCTTAGCCGTTTCAAGGTGCTTAAGATCTAAGACAAGAGTTATAGTGACAGGGAAATGACGGTCTTGAGTGACTGATGCCGGAATGAGTATATGAAGTACGTGCTCACCTTGAGTGTTCCGGGGCAATATTACCTTGTAAGATGGCGCCATCTGTAGTCAAGTACAAGGCTCGTATTACCCTTTGTCTACGATATACTGGTCGATACTTTGGATCAAGGTGGCCGCCGTCGATAAGTATAATAGACCATTCAGGAGACTATCCTGATGGAAATTAATTCTAATTCTAAGAAATCCGTCACTGTACTGGCCAAAAGGTGCTTCATATACGCGCACAACGGCATAAGCCTGAATTTCCATGCGTTTTGCATTGATAAGAGCTACAGTGTTGATTGTATCGTGTATTTTCAGTGCCAATAGACTCTACTGATGTTCCTGACTTTGCGTGATCAACAGCGTTACGCCGTATACCTAAGCACGGCCAATTGAGGGTCAAAAGTCCGATGGGGGTATCGAGTATAAGAATTGCCAGTACAGTGAAAGAATTGACTATTCCGTGGATAGAGGCCTTTGCGTCTATTGAAGATTCTGGACCGCAAGTCTGAGTGTGAAGGCTTGGCGATGCGAGGTTGCGGCAGATAAGAAAGATATATACTACAAACTTCAACTTTGAGCCTCTTTATTTCTTCTAGTCGTGACAATTCGTTACTGATAGGACACTCTGTAATCCATTGGTTACTATTTTAGGAGTCTCCTTTGTAATTGGCAATATCAGGTTTGCATCCTCATAAATACGTTGTTGGTGGTGAGAAATGGCTGGAGAATGCGTTGTCAGAGTAGCTCCAAGTTGTTGAATAGCTCGCTTATCCAGAGCGCTGTGTCGTTCTATATTAAAGCTGGAGGATTAATTTACTCGTACCTGAGAACCTGATGCCCTTTGGCTATAGACGCTTGTGATTGAGTGGCATGATACTAGACAAGAGTATCAGACCGCTTTGTTATGGAAGAATACAACACAATTCGTGTATATCGGTTGAAGATTGTTTGATCTAATGGGGTTGTGTTCACCCTGGGAGCTTTCTAGAGGAAGTCCACCACATCGGCGAACATGCTTGTCGCTCTCTCCAATCACGCGCCGTCCGTAACAGAGCGCCATTGACGAATTCTTTCCTCTTTTTGCCCGGCGCGTATTGGTAACGACCTGGCATTTTGGCTACATCTGAGCCTTTCGTGCTGATCCGGTTCGACGGGTATCGAGAGAGGAGAGAGCATGGAAGAACACATACATCTTGTTAAATTGATGTTTTGCCCTTTTGAATACGATGAAAAAAGGATATCGTGAAATAAGTCCAGGGCTTGCTGAGGTTGTTGACGAGACTTATGAGACAAGACTGACTTGATGAAGATGGATACAGATAATACTTGTAAAAGAGTCTCACGTTATTGACAATAAGCGCTAGGTGTCTTTGGACTGTTGTTCTTTCCATCACGATTATTGCAGTAAGCAAGTAACCAAATGATGCTACAGCCAAGACTTCTACAATTGCCAATCCTGGCTAGCTACCGTGTCCAAGCCAGGTGGTGATGAGTCTACCACCTTGAACAGTCGAGGACAATAATTGATTATGCTTTCCCATTATTAGTTGACTGCTGGAAAAAGCGGCATAACACGAGCTTTGATGTTCACTGAGACTCAAGATCAGAGTTGTCAATTCGCACCAGCTCAGACTATTACAACTTGGTCAGTTGTCCTGGTAAAGTGAGATACCAATATCAACGTTTGACCGAAATGGGTCCCTGCGTATTTTACTTATTCTTTTGTTGATTGCTTGATGTTATTAGTTTCGTGACGTGTATAGTACGAGCTTGTCCTTTGGTAGTTTGTTTTGATTAACTCCTTACACTCCGTCATAGATGTTATCCTTTTGTGACTATGGTGCAAGAGACTGTCAAAAGAACGAGAGAAAAAAAGACACTGATAAACAGAAAAAGATTTTTTTTTCCTTCCACCAAGAATATCTTAATGGTGTTGGGCCTGCATGTTAGCTTATGCTGTGAAATTATACCCTAGACTCTTGATCACCAAGTCACAACGGGTGAGGGCGGTGGGGACTCAAGACCAATGGTAATGCTTGTCGCGATGATCTGACGTTAAATCGGATCTCAGATCCACCCCTGTCGGCTCCATCCGGCTCCGCATCCGGTATCCACGAAGCGACCTCACAGACGCAACGACAAATCGCGAGTGCTTGTATCAGTACCATCTGTCGGGAAATCCCCAGGTCAGACCCACCTAACCATGATCTTAGCTTAGTTTCCCTTATCTAATGCAAGGCTAATATAAATTAGCCTTAACTTAACTAATTTAACTTAACCTTTTTAAGGTCTCTTAAACCTTATTTATTTACTTACTTTAGTACAAATTAGCTAGTTATTATAGTTATAAGCCTAGGTAGAAAGTTATTTTAGTAACTTTTACTACACTTATCTTATATCTATTTACCTTTTTATTATAACTATTATATTATTACCCTCTTCCCTAGTATAGTAAGGCTACGTAAGAAAATTTCTTATCCCTTTTTATTACTCTATACTGCCTTTTTATCTACTATTATAACATATTTAAGATAATAATATTAGCACTAGCTAATACTAATTTAGTAAATTTAGTTATACTAAATTCCCTAAAGAAGTAGCTATAATAGATTCAGATTCTTAAAATATAAACTAAAACTGTAAATATTTAAAAGCTTATTAATCCTAAGCTTTTAAATACTAATAATAATATTCCTATAGTACCTAAATCTAAGTAGTTTAAAGATTTTAAAGCTATAGAGCTTAAAAGATATAGAGTTATTTAAATAAAAATCGTAGCAAAACGTGCTGCCTATATAGGTAATAAGCTTATACTAGCAGTTTTATAACCTCTCTTAAGCGCTCCTACTAATAATTAACTCTATAAGCAATTTAAGCTATATTAGGTATTTATATAGTAAAAAAGCAAGGTAGCTAAGATATATATAAATTAGCTTTAAACTATAATAATATATATCCTAAAAACAGTTAATCTAGGTATAGTAACTGCAGTAAAAATGCAGTTATAATATAACTAAAAGGGCTATTACTTTATTTAATAGCTTCTTTATAGTATAAAGAAAAGCTATAGCTTATTAAGCATTAAAAATATAATAAAAGTAACTATAAAGTATACTAAGATCCTAAGTAAAGCAAAAAAAGTAAAAGTTAACTCTTAAGATTAGCTTAATTACTAGTATTCTGATCTTTATATATATAAAGTTATATAAAATTAGTAAAGTCTAGGGACTACTTATAATAATTAACTTTATTAATACAGTTAGTATAAAGATAGCTCCTAGTTAGGCCGCTTATATAAAACTTATAGCTAATA